TAATAATAATAATAATAATAATAAAACAACTCAACAAAAAGCTTTTAAAAATATTTTTCCTCACACATATTGCTCCAACATAAATTGAATGAGTGCTCAGTTCCTATATTAAATATCAAGATTATTGCTCTCAAAGTACAATAGCTTTATTCTGAAGTTACAAACCAGCAAAGTAAAAGTCAGAAAATATCTAAAAATTTTAGGTCACAAAAAGATTCAACGTGATACAACCCAACTTACTAGATGACTCATAAGGCGTGTGTGTACTTTCAATGTGGCACTGTAGCTGGAATGGGGTGGGAAACTGACGGTAACAGTGCTGGCAGGGGGTGTGGCTTTCCCAACTTTCACTGCTTTGCTTCTCAAGCTCCAAGTGATGTTTCATGTGGTTCATAAACCTTTAAATGATAGCAAACAGGTGAAAAAACCCTACATTTTAACATTCACTATACATGACTTATCACATACAAAACGTCCAGGATTCTTTACAAACTTTAATCCTTAAGGACTTCTCAATGCAAAAAAAAAAAAAAAAAAAATCTAAGGAATAAGTGTTCATTTGCAACATATCTGTGATCTCATTTAGGTTCCTGCTCCAGCAGGGGGATTGGACTAGATGATTTTTCGAGGTCCCTTCCAATCCCTAACATTCTGTGATATCTGAAAAATGTTATAGGACTAAGCTATCTATTGCATATTTCATGTTTGCTTAGAAAAAAAAAATTGTTGCCTTGAAATAAAGGGAAATTAGCAAAGGCAATAACAAAAAACATGTCAGCTGTTCAGGCTTCATCACCACCAGAGTATCAAAGCCACGTTCCAAAGCATGTAGAATTTTAGCTCTGCTGAAAGCTATTAAGTAGCAAGAATATATCTGCTATTAGGACATTATAGCTTTACCTGAAACCACATCTGGCAGGGTTCCAGGGGCCTTCTCAATATAAATGATTTAGGACTGAAGTTCAATTATGAAGGACAGTTATCAAAGAATGCCACTGTGCAGCTGACAATCAAAAGATTACGAGAAACTTGGTGGAACATTCCTACTGCACATTACCACCATTTCCTCAATAATATATCCACCTATCCATAGCATGAACATATTCTGGCTGAGAAATCCAGGCACCCATAACAACACTTGCAGGGAAGTTACTGGTGGAGCAACACAAGGACAGGTTAGTTGCACAACCCACTACTGTTAACACTTTGAAAACTGCTCTATTTTGAGAGCAGTTCTACTGAAGTAGAACTTCAGTACAGCCAGAGGAACTATTAAATGTAGGTCATACACACAAAAAGAAATGTAGTTCTTCAAGTGGGGACATTGGAACTGGAAAAAATAAATGAGCAAGGAGAACAGTCTCTCGAGCTCAAGCTTCTTAGTCTCATGCAGTGCTTAAAAAAAAAATAAGATAAAAAAAGCAAAAAAAACCCCACCCCACCACCAAAAAAACCTAACTGAAGATATCCAGGTACCTAAGGAGAAGAAAGGAACTGACACTAGTACTGCATATTACCTTAACAGAACATTATTTCAATGGTGGGTTCAACCATTGATCTTTTAAAGGAAGCACAAGATTACCCCAATGAATAATTTTGTGCTTATCTGAATTAAGGTCCAGAAAACTTCCACTAGAAGTGGAGAGGCACTATGTACTTCTTTTGTCGACTATAAATGGTTAAATAAAATTCTGAACCTATAGAACTATGGAATACAGCTACAATGTTACTGCAATAATTAATATGGCTGGAAGTCAACTCTAGAGAAATTAAAAGAAAAAATTAGGTGCTCATTTTTAATGACTTGCTATGGAACATATAGGCAATATAGCACCAATAGCTTACACATATAATGTGGAGTAAAAATCTGTGCCTGAAAAATATTTTTTAAAATTAACCCAGTATCTTAATAAAGCATTCTTTCTGCACAGATCACTTTTAATGATACTGCAATAAAGGCTTATTCAAAAAGTGTTATGCATAGAAAAACGGACGAAAAAAAATCTCTCGGCCTACATCAAACATTGTTTATTGCTCTTAAAAAGATAAATTGCAAAGGAAGAAATGCCATAACTAACAGGAATTGTAAAGTTATGAGGGTAAACTTTTGAAGTCTAACAACATACAATATTTTCAAACTGCTGAAGACAAATTACCAGCACTTTTGCTTAGAATTTACACATACTTAATGATTAATAGCAAATTTAATGTTTGTTATTACATGAAATTTTTGTTTTGTTCAGTAATAGGGGTCTAATGTTAGCATAAATCTGTTCATTTGAATTTGCAGACTGTGCCCTTTGAAGGAATAGTCCATTTTTCAATTTTACATTCTGCTACTTCAGCTTTCCTTGAAGAATGCATGTAAAAAAGTTCGATGACCTTAACTTCCAAAGGAACAATGACACAAACTTGTCTACCTATTAAAACTGCTTACTGAAGTTTTTTTGCAGCATTTGGAAGTAAAATTATTCCATCAAAATAACAGATGTTACATAAGTAAACCACCAACTATTACTCATTGTGCATCTCTAAAGGGAATTAACACTCGCATCTACTGATATCACCATCAATCCAGATGGCAAATTGTAAAATACTTTGTGTTGTCCTTTCTAACCCCAAAGTCCTCCAACTACTCTCATTAAAACTCTTCTGTTTATGTTAGACCCCATTAAAATTTGTACTCTAATCTGTAAAAAGTTTAAGTTATGGCCACACATGCACATTAATTCAATTTCTGTTCAGTCACCCAATATTATCAGTTTTTAATAAGAAGAAAATTTCTATTCCAGAAAGACAAATTTTTAATGCATGAGACTAAGTTCTAAGGGCTATATAACAAACAATTCAGGAAGTGAGTTCAAATACCTTATGTTATTTTTAAGAACTTTCAGACAACTGAAGCACTTAAATGTCGTATGAGTCTTCTGCTCCTGTTGTACCTGCTGGGTGTCACCTTCATGTTTCCCATAATAAAAGTCATTAACTAACATAATCAATTTTCCTTTCTCAGATTCGGCAGTCTTGCTTGTTGTGCTCAAACATTCTGTTTCTGTTGTTTCCAGGAAAAAGTCATTTACCATATCTGGACAACAATACTGGATAGAAAGGAGGAGGAGAAGAGAGAGAGATAAAAGTATTAGTCTCTCTTACCAAACTGCATTGATGACAACAGCATTTTAAAAACGGAAGCCTTTTACTAACTAGACTTAAATGCAAAGATCAATTCTCTGACACACTGATTTTATTCATATCCACATATGGATTTGAACAGTAACTGATCTTTAGTAGTGTTTAGGTAATAAAACACTATATATCAAAAAAACTGAAACAGGATTATTCTCATAGGTTCATGTAAGATAAATTTAAGCTAGAAATCAGAAGAAGTGTTGCCTTACTCATTAGAAAAATGTCTACGAATTTAATAACGAGAAAGAGAAAGCAGCTTTTACGCAAGTATTTTGCTGACAAACATAAGCTTACCGAGAACTTAATGGAAAGTTTTATCTTTTATTTCTTTGGGGAAGACATATGTTGAAACCTGCAAAAGTTCTTTTCAGCATTACTGAAAAATTCAGAATTTCTAAGTCACACAACACACATCGTTCAAGTTTCTATATGTCAATGTACATAATGAATACTTAACCCAATAGCTATAACATGAAACAATGCTTGAAAAGTGTGAAGTTCTTCATACAGAAGATGCTATGAAGTTTCCAACAGTGAACAAAATCAGAATGTTTCACAGGACAGATCTTTCTCCTGATGAATAATGGTTATTATTGTGCAGGACTACCTTCTATATGCCTACTACTAAGGAGCTCATTTCCTGCTGTGGGAGTGTGACTCAGTATATTTATCCCATGTAGTTTAACTGAAAATTTAATTAAATAATACTAAGTAAATCCACTACTTCAATGGTTCTTTCATTCGACTGATGTACTCCATGCAAAAGCTATTCTCTACAAAAAATGATTAGAGAAAAAAAACTTTGGATTTTTTTCCACTGTTCTTAATTGTGTTTTGAAGCTGAAAAGGACAGTAACTACTATTTAGCTATCTTAAGCCCCATAAATCAGAATGATCTGTGCTAACAGTAATTCAGAGCCTTGCAGATTTCTATTCCATAATAATTCATATTCCTTTCTGTGTGCATTATTCACATTGTATACAGAGTGCAAAGCCATTTCACCGCCCCCTGAAATGGAATACACATGCCTGAAAATGGCATGAATCTTTGTGAAATAATAATATTTTCCAGAAAACAGTGTTAGAAACAATAACAAGTAGTTTCATAAGCAGACTAAGTGATTCTTAGTTTCTGAAAGTTTTGTGTCTCAGTGTTAAAGTACAAACTGCATATGAAGTTTTTTCCCCTCAGCTGAACAACTTTTTAGCTACCTAATGATGTATCAACATAAAAAGGTAAGTTTACATTGTCATCTTTGTCTCAGTAGTGATCTAACACAGATGTGGGTCAACAGGCTGCCAATAGGCATAATAATGTGACCTTCACCAAATTCACCTGAATCTGGACAATGGTTCAAGTAGTCACAGCTTTGGCAGAGAGAAATCATACAGAGATAGCAAATATGCCTCAATTCATTGGAAAAATAAGGCAAAAAGTGTCAAGATTCAGAGCTTCCCTACTCCGTTCCTCCTCTCCACGACTGCAAGACATTGAGCATTTTGGGTCTGGTTGATCATAGCCAGACTATCTTCATATCAAAACATGGCATTCTTTCATAACCAAACATAAGCCCACATAAGTTTGTTACTATGTTTACCAGCTCCAAAATATTTTACCTTCATATGATTTTTTAGAGGATCCATAAGATTGAAATGAATATTGCACTTCGGACAAGCTCGTGGAAAAGGTCCTCCATTTTTAATGGCGCTCGATGCAGCATCTGTATCTGTAAAATTTAAAATACATTACAATTCAGAATTCACAAGGAGAATATTTGATTTATTATTATTTACTATTCTAGCAAAATATGCTTTTTCAAATTAAAACTATTACAATCAATGCAGCTGTAGTAACCATAAGCAAGGTTTTACTATAATCTTTTAACCCTTCCTTTTTTCCACAGTTTTGAGTTTGTTCTGTTTGATATAGATCTATAAACAATTTTTACAAAATCTTAGCAATAATGAGGAAAAAATGAGAGAGAGTGAAGGTAGCATGATAGAGACGAAGCATTAACTCTGCGCATCACCACCCACCCACCTCCCAGATAAGATGGATTTTTGATGCTTTTAAAAACTTTAATTCTCAAATGAACATATAAAACTTGTTTTATGCCATAACCTGATCATCATCACAACAGGGTTCAGATAACTGCTTTTGGAAAATAATTTCACCATCTGGTTCTCAATGATGAGAATATTTCTCTCTGGACAGTTGTTGGAACCTAGGCCTATTCAGATGCATCACTCCCATTGAGCAAAGGTGTCTTTGGAGAATCTGGAGAATAAATCCTCTAAATAATTAGTCTATGTAATGAAAGGAAATAGTATTTCTCTTATCAACATGGAATGATTAATAGCTTATGAGCAAAATCAAGGAAGTTTTGCATTAGCTTAAACTTTAATGAAGAAACCCAGGCTTCCAGTTTTCTCCAAATCGCCAAAAAACATCAGAGTAAGAGCTACTTTTCCAGATGAAGTTCTCTTGCATTCTCAAGTCATTCACAGATCTGGAGGACTCCGTGCTGAATACATAGTTTAGAAGAAGAGGTTAAACACAAAGAGTTTTAAGTAACATCTCAACTGTAGAGTCAACTGTCAAGCCCTGCCAGGGCTATGACAAAATGTAATAATAATAAACACACAAATAATAAACACACATCCACCTCATAACAAGAGAATGAGTAGGCGTATGAGTTAAGAGATGACCATGCAATAGCGCTATACGATTTTTTTTCGTAAAAATAGTCTTGCATTGTCCATGAGGTAGACATGGATCAAACAGTAGTTTTCCCTGAAGATAACAGCATTGTTAAGAATTAAGCAGCAAGTCCTTTACATGAGTGGATGGCCATGCAGGAGATGCACTCCAAAGCAGTGCTGCAAGTCTTTGCTATTATGGTTTGTTAAACATTTTGACATGTCACAGCTAAGTGCAAGCTGAGTTGGAAGAAAACAGGTTTGCAGCAAGATCTAGTGTTCTGCGGTGCTTCAGTACTGGGTTCTGCAACAGATTAGAAATTGCTATGCTAGCATGGGACAGCTTAGAGACTAACTCATAAAAATAAGGTTCCCTGTAAATATGATCTACTCCTTTGTTGCTGCATTTATTGAGATCCTCTGGTTATCTTTTGTATACTACAGGCTGAAGCACAATATCTGTTTTACCCAACACAGGGTGTAGGAAAATTTTTTGCTGCAATATTCCATGTTATAGCCACTTCCTTCTGGTTACTGGGGAAGAGTCTGATAGCAAACCAGCTGCAAACAAGACATGCAAAAAATCCAAATATGAAATTATTCCAAACAACAGAATCATACTGTACGTAGCTCTTCATTTTAACATTATAGGAGAGAGTACATGGTTGAACATATCCCAAAGTCAATAATAAATCCTCATTTATTACAATCAGCTGGAAAGCACCTTTTGGCTCAGGAGGAAAATGCACCTAGTTATTAATATGCTGAAACAGCTAGACTACCTCTCTTCTTGTAGACAAGGAAAGGTCTTTCAAAGAACATCCTTTCTCCCCCTCCTCCCTTCCCATTACTATTTTAAACTGTATCAAAAATACTGCTGCAAAAGAGGGGGGGAACTGCAAAACACACTTTGCAATAGTTACAGAACAGAATCACAGAATAACTTAGTTTGGATCAGTAGATGTTTTTGTCCAGTCTCCCACTCAAAGCATGTCCAGTCTTAATAGGATGCTCAAAGCCGTGTTCACTCAACTTCTGAATATCTCCAAGGATGGAGAGTCCACAATCTGAGTCCTTGCTGCCTTACCTGACATTCCTACAATTTTTTTTTTCCTTCCTTTTATCTAATCAGAATTAGTTGATAAATTCATCAGTCACAGAATTCTTTCAGTCTTGATTTTCTGGTTGGTTGTTTTTTAAAGTTTCAACTCCCTATTCAGTTCTTTGACATAGAAAATCTGAACTAAGAGTATGAGGTCAGGGGCATTTGTTTTGATCATCTGTCTTCATAACCACTAAACAACTTGAATAATGACTGCTTTACAGAATTCAAACATACTTACTAAACAATAAAGGTCTAAAATTTGAATAGGTAATAACCTACGATGTGTTAATTTGTAAAGGTATATAAATCCTTGCCATAAAAAGGTTTTTCTTATTTTAAGGCACAATAACAGTGTTACTTATTTACATTGCCTTAATAGCATTAATAATACCAATCAACTTAAACATCACAAGAGTGCCAGCTTTTCCCACAAAACAGATGCATAGATTTACAGCTAGACCATTTGATCTACCCTACCTTTTGAAGAAACATTTTGTGATGGTTAGAGTTAACTGTAGGTGAAACAGCTCAATTGTTTCCACCACCAACCTCATTAGGCTTGGTCTTTTTTCGAGTTACACTGTTGCCCTCAGAAGCAGCAGACTCTCAAGGTACAAAAACACTCATTCAGCGCTACAGTGGTTGAATTTAAAGACCTCAGTTTTTTTCCATAGTATATTACGAACACACTACCGATGCCTACGCTTTAAAGGATGGACAAGCCTACACAAAACAGTTCAGATTTCCTTAAATAATAAGCCATACAGAAGTTAAGAACTGAATATTCTACAGTCAGTGGAAAAGGAAAGGGCAAATGCAAAAAGATACAGCTCCATCCTAGTAAATCATACTATGACCACCTGAATTCATTTGGCCTACTTTTCACATCTTGACCCACACTAATCTGAGACAAGGTGAGTTCACAGGGACAAAATTAAGCTAAGCACCTGGTTTCTGCAATGCTCACTATTTGGAACAACCTCCGCCCTTCTGATAAAAAAACATACCTCTTTCTGGCCCTATGTTAACACTGGTTTAGTTTGTTACTTAACTCTAAAACATTTGAGACTTCTGTTTATATGCAAAACAGTGTTTTAACTTCTAATGACCAATCACAGCACATCTATTTGCTCTCTTCTGAAAGAGGCGTTGATCCACTCACTGTTTGCAGTATTTTTTCTAAAACAGAAAATCACTCAAAAATAACTTTGAAATTCAGAGGTTCAGTGCCTGATTAACATGCCCATCAAGACCTGGCTCCATCTTGTCCTGAAATCCATGTCTCTGACACCGTAAGATTGCCTATGAGGATGTAACCTCAATACAGAGATCAGTCCTCAAGTACATCTGAAATAGTACAGCTACATACCAAGAAATCTGAAGTGCCAGCACAGGCCTTGTAAATCTCTCACAATCACAGACTGCAAAGAGTCTTAAGACTATGATAAACTATGACAAGGATCGGACTTTAGTTCCAGAAACAATGATCTGAACCAAGGACATATTGTATACTCCCCTCCCAATGGTCTAGCTGCTCCAATTATTTCTTTGGGTGTAGTTAAAAACTGAATTAGTATCGTAAAGTCTTCTCAGCAAGCAGAGATGAATTGCGTCACAAAGTCATTCAAACTTCTTCTGAGAAGAAACAAAACAACCCTCTCCCACCTCCAAGTTGTGTTTAATTAGTGGTAACTATCTCCACCTCACAGTCTGGATAGTCTCTCCATTCAATCCACAGAGGCAAAGAGTCCCAGCAGGGAATGCTGACACTTCAGCATCTTGGAGAATTTATCACACCATGCCTCATACACAGGAAAACATAATTCACTTGTTATAGATGTATTTAAGCATCCTAATGTTCTCCTTTGTAGCACAACTCTCCATTTTTCTAATGCAAGTGACCATATTCAGCTCAAATGTCTCACTCTATGCAATAGTTTGCCTAGGGTAATTAACACATTCACAAAATAAACAGATTATTCATTAGATGGTACTACTTCCTAGGGTTTTTAAATTTACTTATACTTGCACTGTTAGGTATACAAGCTGGTTACATTGATCTTAATCAGCAAAGGCCTCCAGATAGCTGGTATGACTACAGCATTCTTCTCTATCACTGAGGCTATTCAAGCATCAGGCCATCAAACAACAGGAACTGCTGCTACATATTTAATTCTGTCGTTGTGTAATGAGGGCCAGGGCAAAGCCAGAAGGTCTGACTGATTTTACAAGAATCTTCAGTAAATTATTTTATTTTACTATAGAAAATCCAATTTGGAAAAAAGGACTATTTTTACATGTTAACAAAATTGGTAATAATCTCAATTAAAAAAGCCTGACACATCTGTGACAAAAAACTTGAAGACTATTTTATATATTTATAAAGGTGAGCATTCTTAACTCAGCTTATACAACTCTGATCTAAAAAATTCCCTTTCAGAAGAATTATACTAATATTAGTAGAATATACATAGGTTTGCACTTTAATTGTTTGTTCATTTAAAAAAGCTAAAGCCTATTTTGAAAAATGATCAAACCAATTCCAAGCAGTATTTAATATCTAGCTGCTATAAATCAGCCTGATTCCTCTTTTCATCAAACTGTCTCTGTCAACTGGTGTGTGGACACAAGAATTCCTTGGATCACTCATGTTCCAGACCAGTTTGTCCAAACCACTACCCAGCTGTTACCACACAGGGACTCCAGGTACTCAAGAGTAGAAAAAAGTAGCAGCCAAACAATTCTTGTTTGGTTTTCAGGCTGCTCAGGAGTCTTCCTACTTTCATTTCACACTATTAGTAAATAATTTTGTAGTGATTATGAACCAGTTGGCCATACTCATACACACAGTATTATTGTGTACAGTATCTAAAATGATCGCAAGAAGGAGCAAAGTATACTGGATGCAGTATCACCTTGTCTACAGCTTTCTAAACACACATTACAACACTACTGTAAAATCCTCAATACTGTTAAGTGCATCTGTGCTGACTGGGCCTGATTTTATGAATGATGGCAAAAGACATTCAAAATGGTAACCTAGAATAAAAGCATCAAAGGTACTGTGGTAACAGTCAGATCAAATAAACAAAATAGGGACATGAAAGTAAAATTATTTCAGACCTCTAGTGCATGGGCCCTCACCAACACCTCCCATTGATCTGGTGCTATGAACACATGTATACAGTACAGTTAACTCCTGAACATCATTGGCTATGGCATTTTCTGGTTCCTCCAAGTGGGTTATGTTTGTGGGAGAATAATCCCAAATTATTCTCAGAAAACAAACTACAGTTTTACATACATTCCCAGTGCCCATCCAACCTGCAGAAGAGTTACCAATGCTGTTTAAAACTTAATACCACCACCTATTTAGCTTAGTAACCTAACAAAATGCTTGGTTAGTGTCTGTTACCAGCTTGTCATTTCCACACTTAGACCTCAGAAATAAATATTTATGCTATATTGAGGTAAAAAATTTCCTTAACTATCCATGCACAGAAGTTAAATTGTCCTGCAGAGTATCACAGGTCAGTTCCCAAAAGGATTCTGCCTTTAAATACCATATTCTAAAATGTCCTGTGCCCACAGTGCTGCACATGAACTAGTGGAAGCATAACACCAATACAGGCAAGGAGGCATTGGCACAAATGAACAACATGAACCTAAGTGCATTATGTGACCTCAACATGCACGTCAAACCATAAAATACACAGACATTTCCTTGTGAAGTTAAATGTATCTTAAATTTGCCTTCTGTGTCACGAAGATACTCATGTTTCAACCCACAATTATAAACCTTTTAATTTTGAAATGCTATTGCCATCTTACAGAAACCAGCAGACTAAGTACGGTATATCTAAGACACATTGAATTACGATCCTTGATGCTTTTAAGTATTTCATTTTTCTCAAGGAAAGACTAATACATGTAATTTTAAAATATGCAAGCAGGTCTCCTAAATTTAAAAAACAAAACCAAAACAAAAACCCACATCACCACATGCAACTGAACTTTAATACCTGTTCTTTGGAGAGCAAGGGCTGGAATACTGAACCATTTGCAAGAAATAAAACCTTTGCTTATTTTACAAAAAGCTATTTAACCCAGTAAGGAAAGAATGCGATCACAGAATAATTGTACACATCCAAGGAAATACACTACTAACCCTTCACTGGTAAGTATCTGGGGTGAATGCCTAACCTAGAGATGCAAAATTATTACATCAAGCAGAATAAACTTGTAATCATTCTACTCTATGCAACTTGTTAGTACAACTGGTTAGGCCATTCACTGTACACAACCCGTTACCTCAGGGAAAAAATCAGAAGTGACTGTCATCTGTAACTTATAGACTGAATGACAGGATTCTGGTCAGTTATTACAGAAGTGCAATCCTTCACGAGAGAAGGGAAGCCCTAATTTATAGCCTTTAAGACTGAATACACTGCATGCTTTAAATGTACCTATCTGATGTGACACCAAAAAAGGCGCTTTTCTGTTTAAGTAGGTTATTGCTGAACCACAATTTAGCTAGTTGGAAAAAAATATTTTAGATGTCAAACTACATATTCTCTCTCTTCCCCCACCCTTTTCAGACAGGACCTTTTTTATCCCATCTACTCCAACTCCTACATACAGTAGTCAGGAAACCAAGATCACCATCAGAGGGAATCCGCTCAGCAGACTCGGGAAGCTCTTCTGGTACTGTTCACAGCCCCTCTCTTGCTAACAGCCATTCCTACTCATGCTAGTCAAAGAGTGCAGGATATACTGAAAATGAGCCTTTATTAGTCCAAAAAATTACAGTGGATGTGACAATATTTTTTCCATCTAAATGAGCATTATAAGAAGACATCAGTTGACATTATAGTCAGCCTAATGCGCTGAAAAGCAAAGTCTGACAATACAAGGCTCCAAAGTTTATTTCATTAAATATTATACAGTGTTATGTACAGGGGGAAGAAGCTACACTATGCTCTAGAAAGCCTATTTAAAGTTATAACCCGAAGATCTGCACTACAGTTAAATGACATTAGGCTGTTTCTTTCTCTTATCAACTACTACAGTTATACCCACCTGTTACATTCACTGCTGGCCCAGTCTGGTACTGTGGAACTCCCGAGTTCTGTCTCACACCAAACAGTATACCAGATGTATTATCTGGTGCAGCTGGTGGAGAATCCATAATATAATCCTAATGAGATATTTTCAAGAGGGAAAAGAAATTTGAGGTTTAACATTTTTTTTACTTGCAGGCTTCAAAGGGTTTATATTAAAAACATATGATTGCTTAAAAGTACTCATAAGTACTCAGCTGTAAATCAAGTTAATTACAATCTCCCCAAAATAGTTTCTTTTGACATTTTGATAAGTTTGCAACTCTTATCAGTGGTTCTTAATTTATCCATAGCTGTGTAACAGAATTAAAAACAATCCTAAGACCTGGGAAAGTCCATTTTATGAAATATTACTAGATCTGTTTGAACTGCTAATTGTAATTGCTTTTTGTTCAAAAGTCTGATGATGTTTCAAATTATTCTTGAATTGCTTTTCAAGAAAACTTCAATACTTTCTTCCTCCAACCCAACTCGGGCATTTGCCTGTTACTTTTGTGTAACAGTTAGCTGCATTCTAAAAGATCAGAAAACAGAACTCAAAATAGCACAAACTTGCAGCAAGCAGAAGCTTCTCAAAGCAAGATTCTATTAAATCAATGAAATTCTGCTAAGTGATCAAGCTTTAATGAAAGTAAAAGTGTATCTATAGCACATTGACTGTGAATGGCACTCAAATTCACAATAACACTAAGGGTTTTTTTTTTTCTTTTATGTAGAGTAATTTCATAAGGATTTCTGGAAATAATATACTCAAACCCTCTTTTCAAAGCACCTCTAACCTAAAAGTTGGTTCATGTTTCTCAGCGCCTTGTTATATTCAGTTTTGAGCATCTCCAAGTACAGGTATCCTCTTACTTCTCAGTTTAAATGATTTGCCCTTTAGTACTACATATCACCTAAAAAAATTTAAAAAGAGTCCACATTTCTCAGCTCCAACACTGAAAACTTACAACTAAACACCTTTGCTGATCACTCAATGGGTAAAATTTGGAGGGGAAAGGAACATAAAATTTAGTTCTCTACAGATATTCAAGGTTGTGGGGGTGAGGTATGAGAATCACACTTTCCAAGATTCATCGATACTGCTCACATCTTAATAGGCCATTCTTCCTAACACAATCTGGAACATGAAATATATTCAGCAATAGCAGTAAGGAGTTAAGAAAAACCCTGTAATAGAGATAGGTTTAATTTCAACTTAAAGGTATGAATGGCAAAATACCAGCACTTGATCTTTCTACTCTGAAATAATTAAATTACACTTCATCAAGCTGTACTATGAAACAAAAAAACTTGACAAAAGTAGCTCCGTTTCCCTTATCAAAAAAAAAAAAAAAAAGATCACCCAATACACATACACAGACTTTGTCATCAGTGTATCCGTGAGATAAAGGCCAAAACACTTTCTGCTGTAAAGATCAATCTCACAAAAGGCTTCCCATTCACGACTGCGGCACTTACTTGAAAACATTCCTGTGGAAGTTACCACATTTTAACTACCACCATGCTGACTAAACTTGATGGAAAGAAGTCTGAAGAAGTGCACAAGTACACACACAGGTATTATAACCTATTTTAGGACTCGTAAGTAGCAGAAAATATCTGAACAAAAAGGAAGATGCTTCTCCCCATCCTGCCTTTTTGTTGTATAACTCTTAAACAAAAAACCTGCAGGACCTTAATGATAATGAAGAGCCATTCTTTCTTCTAGTGAGTGACCTAATCCAAACTAACCAAATGAAACAGAAGTGTTCAGGAGAAGTTCTGGAAACAGTTACTACATTTCTCTGCTCTATTTGTTAGGAGTAGCAGTCACAACAGAGCAGGTGCTGCTGTAGCCACAATGGTTTCAGACTCACCAGTGCAAGTACAAGCAAAGCAGCTTAGCCTGCAAACCCCATGTCAAGCACAACTAACGCTCAGGTAGTAAGCCTGGGGTAGGCTCTTGTGTGAAGGACAACGCACACCACCTGCATTTGAAATATGACCAATAAAAGAGCTGCACACAAAATTTGCTTCTCTTACTACTCTGTGGTTTGTTTGTTTTTTAAGCACTGCTAACCTTTTAACTTTATTCTAAGTAACAGCCTGGGTATTTTGATGGCACTGTACATCTCCCTAGTATATACTGAACATATCTGGCAAGTAAGGAAGTAAAAACAGATATCCTGGAAATACAGTGTCTCAGTTTTCAAAATGTCCTTTTCTGTTTACAATTATTCTTTTAATGCAATTTGGCTCTGTCATTTTACATGCTTTAGAAAGCAAAAAAGTTTTAAAGAAAAAAAACAAAACAGCTTGACCACATAAATGAAAAAAAAATAATAATTCAAACTAACATGTACAGGTGCTCTCACATGCAGAAAGTCAACACCTTTATAAATTATGTTCCTATGGCTCAAGTGAAGAAAAATAATCCACCACCACTCTTAGTTTTCCAAGAGATTAGTGAAAATACTGGGTTCATACTGTGCATCCTAGATTTCCTAACTATGGAAACCAATATGGTAACTGGTAACCAAACCCACACAAGAGAAATTACAATGCATGGTATCATATCTTTGCTCTCACAAAATTAACTAGGACCAACTGGACTCTGAATCATCTCAGATTGAGGAAAATGCCCACTAAGCAGGGGAAAGATATGGACAGAATTGGCTGGGGCTTATTGTAGAGCATTCTGAGCACTGAATTATAGAAAATATTCACTGCTATGGACAAATTCTTCTTAAAGAAGAAGATAGCCCTATGCTATCATATACAACAGCAGTAGCTCTGAATTAGAATTGCTGTAAACAGTATTATTGAAGCCAAATTCAACTCAGAATTTCTGGAACTGTATTAACGTAGTGCAGTAACAAGAACGCAAAAACTAGACTTCTGCAGGAAGTCGGCAAATCAAGCCTGTGATTGGAAAGCAGTATTCAGTGATTAAAAAAAGCCCTGGAATATCAAATATTGACAAAAGGATAATTATAGACCTACGTGTTAAACTGAGGAAATAATGTGTTTCATCCCTGTTGGTTACCAAAAGCAATCAGTTCCCATAGAAAAAACTGACATCCTGAGATTAAAAAATATTGCACCATATTAAGAATGCAAAGGCACTCTGAAGGATGTTCAGCTAAAAAGGGGTCCTGCCACAGTGTCTAGTCATATCTCAGTCATCTTCACATCACAATATTTTAATTTCAAAGGCAAGATTCAACATAATTTGTAGTCCTTCTTAGACACAGTGACAGTGATTTAGCTAACCCACTTCACTAGAGATATCCACAGTTTCTCTCTGCAAACTATCAATCAACTGTTGAGACTCAAAATTGGAAAGTATGAGTTCTTTCCTAATTAATCCATCAGAGATTCAGCTACCCAGTTGATAGGCAATGACTACATTGCATTTTCTTAAACAACTTCACACTGGCAATGATTTAGCCACAAGTCTTCAGAAGAATATCTAATTCTCATGTTTTAATGGCCTTATTAACTATGTTCATTCAGACAGATTCCCCTGTTCAAATGCAGAATCTATTAGGATGCATGATTTTTATTTATATGAAAAGACTCACAGCTGGAACGGCAGGTGTGTATATTTGCATGGACAGTGGAGATGGTGTCTACTGTCAGGCTTCATTTTAACCTGACAGTAGTAACTAATATTACAGGCACATTGCCTAAACAGTTCCAGCTTAAATTATTTTCAATAAAGGCATCACATCATAGTTTACCCTGTACAAATATGAAATTTTAATCTTCCTTCTTTCTCTCCCACAAACATCCAACAGCTAAGGCAATAAAAACAGCATCTAACTTGACTCCCTAAAGTTATCATCCTGAGGTTTTGTGGCAATCCAGGAAAATCTATGACACATGATCTACGTGCATAGTTCCCTTGGGCTTTTAAAGAATGTTGCCGAATTGTTTCACCTACTGACCCTGCAACTTCTGGTTGCTTAAGTCCTCCTTACCATACTGTTGTTTCACTACAATTGCCATGTGAACCAAAAAGTAAAAACACCTACAGAGCTACCACTAAAGCATTCTCTTAAGTGAAAATCCCAAGAAAGGCACTAGAAAAAATCAGGTGGGAAAACCACAAAGTTACTTTAAACACCAAATGCAAGCTATTAAAAAAGAAATTAATTTATCAATACAGAGGATCCGTCTCTGAGCAAAGAAATCTGCAAAATTTAGAGGAGAATTTCCATCATTTCTCCACATAACAAACAAAATAACCTAAACAGTACTGATTTCTTTTATGCCCAAGATTTTCATTTAATGTAATCCCACTTAGATGTTACTAAAGGTATCATCCTCAAGTCTTGCAAATCAGTATTTTCAAATATATATTGTAATTTACCAGTGCAAGGTATTAGTCCTAAAATCTTCATGGTTTATATAATGCTAGTCTATAATTTAGTCCAGGTCTTCAAATTACTAGACTGAGTCATTATGTTCCTTATTAATTTATTCAAAGTAATTGCACCTGTATATTTCAGAGTTTAAGGGAATAAAAATTTACCTGATCGAGTATTACAGGCTGTGCTGTTACAGTAGTCACTGGCCTGGATACAGGTTGAGCCACTACAGGAACCGCGATATTTCTTGATACTGGCTGTGTCGTCACTGGAATGGTTACAGGTCTGCTAACAGGCTGTGATACTCCAGAACTTGACCCAGGCATCTGCTGTGTTGACAAACATCCAGCAACTGGTCTCTGCAGTGTTTCTGAAGTTCCTGAAACATTCACTGGTATAGACAATGGCTGAACTGCTACAGAGCTAGTTGTAGGTCTGGATACAGACTGAAAGACTGATGAAACAGGCATGGCACTGGGGCTCGAGGCAGGTGTCGCATAATGGTGACTGTCAGGCTTGAATGTAGTAACTGTACCTGTTGCAAAGGATTCCAAAGTTATCTTTATATAATTTTGCAGTCAGATGTTTCATAAGTGTTGTGGATTTTTTGTTTTTAATTACCATATTAGGACAATAAAGTACCTCTACTGGGTGCACCATTCTGTATCCCCCTTCGTGATGAGCTGAGGTTGACTCTGTTCAATATATCTGTCAAAAGTTACATTTATCTTAATTGCAGTTAAATGAATAGCTTAATTGCTTTTCAAATTAAAAGTAGCATTCATATCCACTAAATAAGTCAATTAGGATTAGCCTTATAAATTAGAATATTATTTCTAAAACAAATACCTGGCAAAACAAAGTGTCATTTGTACAAATTGATATGTTCTTCTACTCCCCTTCTCTTAGGTTAAGCTAGTTCTCCTAAGAAACTCACTTTTTATTTTCTTGGAGATAGATTAACACACAAATAAGAGCGCAAACAAAAAAAGGAACATTTACTAAATATTTAGCTTTGCTGATTATAATGCATTTATGTATATGAGAAACAGAAGTTAGTAAGTTCCCCAAATAGTAGAACTGCTCCATACTAAAGAAAGTATTTTCTCTACACCAGTAACTACACAATTTGCTTGTGTATTACAGGAAAATACAGCACATACAAACTTGTTTTTAGACTTCATGACCTCCATTTTCCAATGTGAAAGAAAAATCTACAAACCAGCAATCAAAGGAGTTGTGTCAGAATTGCATTATAAGAGGATTGATTTTCTTACATATCCTACATGGTAGTCCATGACGAGAGTTCTAGCTCATCAGAAACACATGTAATTTCTTAGATTTGATGTTTACTCCTTAACTAAAGCCACCAATATTCCCCAACTTTTTTCTACCACCAGATTCTCAATCCTATTAGTGTTGCTGTCAAGTTTCTTGCTCTGACATGTGAAAATATGCATATAAAATTAGATTGATCCTCCAATATCTAACCAACAAGGTTTAAAGTACCTTCTCAAACTAGAGTCAAATTACATCAGGATCTCAAACAATAGATCTTAAGAGTGTCTACACATTGTGTTTTACAACCTCAAGGCTGTTTCCACCAGCCATGGCTCATTAGTACACACTACTCAGGTTGATAAATAAATCTAATAGCAGTAGAGCTCAGAAGATCACAGCTTTCAACCCGTCACCTGCATTTAGATCATACTATTAAAAAAGCAGCTGTAACCAACAGATCCAAACAGGTTTGCATTTTTTAAGATATGATGAAATTTCATTGTGTAATAGTAATACTATTTTTGCTTGAATATAACACTATGAGCAAGGATTAACTTAATTCAGGATTTAGCCAAACACATACTTTTTCATGTTTGTTAATAAATCTATACCTTACATTTGAATTCCAGAGTGAAATGAAACTAAAGCCTTCATCTACCTACAAAAAAAAAAAAGCTATCCAAAAAGTTAGGTCTCAAAGAATATTCAGCTTCAGACAGTCTGATGTGCACACAATTCACAGCCTAAAATACAAAGGTAGATTTTACTGTTTTTAAAAAAAACATGTCAGGAAGTCAGTGATTTGAAATGATAAACTAGATTTACATGACTCAACTGGTCCACCATAGACTTGACACACCCTTTCCCCTCCCCCATCAAAGTGTTATTTGCCCCGCTTAGGTGAAACGGTACTGAAGTATAAGAAAGCTAACATGCAGAACAACACCTTAAAGCAGCAGCAAATTACAGGTTTGTATCATTATGAAACAGGAAGCAACAAAAATGAGCAGTAACTGTAGGAAAAATGAGCGGTCGCAGGAAATGGTAAAGGGAACAAAGTGCAAATTACTTTTCATCCCAGTCAAACTAATTCACCAGTACATCAAAAGAGACACTAATTATTACACATGACACTGTTCCAGGAGGTCAAAGTTGGGCTTTTAACCATTTACTTCAAATTTTCTGCACCAGTCTGTATAAAAACTGGTAATTGCATTGTCAGGAAAAGTTTTTAAAAAATTGCTACACATTATAGAAAACATACCTTTCAGAAAAGTTAAGAACTACACACAAGTTTCCATTTGACACCTAATTTTTCATCTGATCAGACAGGAATTTTCTAAGGTAAAAACTAAACAGTGATAAGCAAAGTTGAGTTCACTGTGTCTTGCCTATTACCAGCAACAAACTGAAGCCTGACTACTGCCAGGTAGTACTACTTACAAGCCAGAGAAGAACTGAGGTCATTCTTCCATAGCTGTTTTTGATAGTGAAGTAGAAGATTACAAAGAGAAAAGTTGAACAAAAGGAAGGAAAAGAGATAAAGTAAAAGGTTATACCATAAATGATTTCACTTGTGTCAGGACTGAGTATGGACAGCACTAGAATAAGATGCATGCTTTGTGAGTATCTATCTTTCACCGAAGTTCTTGAAGTTGCTGAATCATATCATAATTACAGTTTTCACCTGAACTATTTCTATCCTTTATGACTACAAGAAAATCTTGAGACTACAATGATCACAATGAAACTTGGCATATTTGTTGTTCTAATGTACGCTTAGTGCCTTAATAGTTGTTCTATGCCACGACATACTGCCAATGACCAACAGCAATCCAGAGGTCTCTGGACCTTCCAGAAAATAGTAAGGGTATTTTTCAGTTCTTCTAAAAGTTTGTAACTGCAGAAAATTTGCTAGTGTAATTTAAAAATATTCTTCAAATTTTCAAGAGGATCTAGAATATTTTTTAAATATTCAAAAAGATTAACCCTTAAGAACTATTTTCAACTGCAGTATTTCTTTAATATTTAAAATATAATTTTCCACTTTTTTAGTGGTAAGAAGCATTAGATTTACTATCCCAGTGAGTAACAAATAAAATAGAGTTCAGATGCAAGATGAAAGTATTGTGAACTAAAATGACTAAACAGCTAATAGCTCCAAAGTCCATGCAGCAGAGTGTGACAGCCTAGTTTAACATTTTGTTTTGAGATTCTTCACTGCAAACTATACACCTTCAGAAAATGATTATATAAATCTTGGATACAAGCATAGCAGAGACGAGGCAGAAACTGAAAGCAGTAAACCTCACCAGGCAAAGTCTTGTATATTCAATAGCTAGAGAAAACTTAGGTCAAACCACTTAACAATTGACTGCAAGATGGCCACACATAAAAATCAAAAAGTTTCACTAATTCAAGTAACAAAAATAATGTTCTCCTTTACTTACCTGCCAAAGCCCAAGCACAGGACAAACATGGAATCCTGACACATCTGCTGTCATCACAACCACCTAACCTCACTCCCTGCACTGCCTGCATTAGGAGAAAACTACAGAACTTGATGAAAAAACCTCTTTATTTTACAGAGGATGAATGAATTTATTAATGAAAGTCTCTTACTTAACAGAGAGGCTCCTACTATTTTCACACTAAACTTTTCTTGATTGTGCTTTTATTATAGAACTTAAGACAGTTACCTTGGTTTTGTCAAAATGACTTCCACCCATTCAGACTGTCCACCAACACATGAAGTGTTTGGTGGAGAAAACAGAGGGACTGTAACATGAAGACTTAAATTCATGCACATTCCCCTAGTAGAGAGACACTTCCAAGTAGCTAGCTAAATATCAACTATATTAAAAGCAACTGAATGCATGGTTTCAGCATTGTATATATTGAATTTTTAACCATATTGTTATGGTTACCTTCAAACATTCTTGTTTTTACTTCAGAGATTTAATGTTAGATGTAGACAGTGCTCTGCATAACATGGGTTTTAGGACAGAATTTCTTAAGAATTACAATTTTCAGTATGACAGTGAGCTACAGAACAGCTTTAAGATGTAGAATTTCTTAAGTCTTACTATTAAAAATTCTGTATTTTCAAAGTAAGTTTAAAGTTTTACACCTTGAAATACTGGTTTAAATTATGGAAAATGTTATCTTACATGTACTAGCTGGTCTTGAGCTTGTGATTTCCCCAACAAAGATTGGTTCATCATCATCATCATCCTCTTCCACTTCTTTCACTCTCTTTTGCCATGGTTCTAGCTCCTCTTCTTCACATTCCATAAATAATTCTGCCATCTTGAAACTAGACAGTAAAAAACAAAACACACAGGAAAGCATTCAGTACTTTCATGAAACAAATGTTTCACTGTTACGGTAAAAAACTACTGAATTTGATAATTCCCATAGAATGGTCTTTCCCCCCACCTGCCATGTTCTGTACAGGTTTAATGTGATCTGATATAGATGATCTTCAAAGACTGACACCTCATCACCTTTCTGATAATTATTTGAATTTTCATCTTTGCTATTAAAGATGAGGAAAGACCAAAGATATCCTCCATACAATTTACACTTTTTTTTTTAATAACCTACCAGTAACTATTAGAGGAAGCCTCTGAAACCACAGTGAAAGGTATCTTCCCCACCCAAACCCAAAACCTACCACAGTCCCACAAAGTTCCTAAGATTTTGCCAGGGCTTCCCATATAGTCACATTTTCTTTAAAACCCAGAAAGAGAAATCCCCACTACCCACACAACAAAAAAACCAAAAAACCACCCAAAAAACCTCAAACAAAAATCCTACAACAACAAAAATCCAAAACCATACCCAACAATGCACTGCATAGTGTTTTCATTATCAATTAGGACTTGATAAAAATTTTGCATAGATCTCATTAGACTGAGTCCTTCATGCTTGGAGACTTGCTCTTGCAGTAAGGAAAAAAGTAACGTATGAAAATAATAACGAAAATATGTAGCTTCTGGAATTAACCAAAAAAACATCAGCACTTCTGATAACAACTGGTTTTATTTGTTTTTTAAATAATGGTGATTGCCAATAAAGTTTTCCTCTTTCTTTTCACATCCTCTAACATAATCTTGAAAGTATTTCTGAATCCAGGAAATAAGAAGCTTTTCTATTTTTTTACACATGCTGCCAATAAATTAATTTGTAGAAAGACCGGTAATTTCATAAAACCACAAGGGCAGCCTCAGCAATAACCAGGATCTCAAAACAATAGTGTTGGTCTTGCCTAAGACATGGAGCTTCACAAAATTTCACAAAAAAGTCTCAATTACTGAATGGGAAACAATACTGTTTTGCACGAGGAACCCAATAGTAAATCCAGCCGATACAGGAATTTCTTGAAATTAATGAGTGGTTAAGCACATGAAATTCAATTCACCATTGAACTGCTCCGACTAAAAGTGAACAATATCCAAGCAACAGATCCTCTCATGGAGGCCACAATCAATGTAAGAATATTTCCAGTCTGATTACCAGGCCACTGCCAACAAAAACCATTACCAATACTTCACTCATTCTTGTGCTGATGCAACACTTACCTGACTAAGCAAACTAGTTAAGGAAGCTTGACTTCCCACTATTCTGCAGTGATAGTTCCCTGAAAGTTTAAACGTAAACTTGTCCTAAGGGCCAGGGCACCAGACCCACACTAACGTAAACGATTATGTCATTGAAGACTATCAAACCTCATACACAAGGTGACAAAATCAAGATTACATTCATAAACTAATATTTTGTAAACTAAATTACTTATCTTGTAAGATAAAGAGAACATTTACTCAACATTTTTTCTGTACAGTTTCCCATTATTTTCTTTCCAAAAATTTTTTAGGAGCAACATATATATTAAACATTGGGTTAAGTTTATTTTTTGAAAGTATAATTATGCCCCCTTATAAAAAAGTATAAGAATACCCCTCATTATCTGTCAACAGTGTTTTAAATGGAAGTCTTCAGCACAGACACAGTTGAGAAACTGTCTAATACCTAATAAGAGAAGATAATTTCAGGATAGAAGTAATGAGCTGCTAGATTTGGTAGAAATAATTAGCCTGTAATAGTCTATTACAGGGAGCAGAGCCCCTACTTGCATTAAAGCACATGTGAATTGGGCTGCTGGTGTTATATGCTAGGTCTTGGGGATAAGATAAAGAAGCAAAGCTGTATTCCTTCCTTCCTCCATCAGCTTTGGATGCTGAAGTTAAGCGTGGTGCTAGGAAAGGTGAGAATAAAGACACTAAACTAGATGCTTGTCACAGGAAAAGAGGAATAATATGAAGTCAGTTTCCACTTGACAGAGGCAACAGGGGCAGTGTACCAAGCCGTGGAAAGGAAATCAAGCCTGACTCTCCTCTGTAGAAGTGTGTTTTTTAGAACAACTTTTATTTACTAACACAATAGCAAAGTTTATTAGACTTCAAGGCAAAATGAAAGACTTTTCACAGACTTTGTTTGTGGAACTGACAACACAAATATGGGTTTGGGTTTTTTTTAAATTAAAAAAATACTCTTATTTGACCTCAGGGAAAAAGGTATTCAATTATAAGATGTGGTCAGAGAATGCAAATGAGAGCACATGTAATTTATATTAAAAATACAAAACGGGCACAAGCAATCCATATGTTAGCAGAATTGTAACAAGATACATGTGATAACCTTAGCTACGCTATAATGCAGCTGATTTTTTTTTTTTTTTAACACAGTTCAAAGTAATTTGATAACACAAGCATGGACTTTTAGAAGGTTATACCAACTAGTACCACCTCTTAAGGACCTTTCATTTTATGAATCAGGATATACATATTAAGATATTCTCAAAAAGTGGCTCAAAACATATGTCAGCTTTTAAAAGGCAAGTGTCAAAATTATTTCAGATCTTTTAATCTAATTTTTTGCATTTCAATGCTCTGATTTGAAGCCAAGCTTTCACTGACTTTTCCTGGCAGCAAAGCCAGCCTAATGAGTTCCCGCCCTGCTCCCTCAGTTGTGCTAGTGCAACTTCTCACGGGACTATGACGCGAACCAGTGCGGGTTAAAAATAACCTGTCCCACTAACAGCTTTACCAGCACAACTGAGAGGTCAAAAAATCTGTGGCCTGAGCAACCAAAGTTGCAGCAAGTGGGAACAGATTTGATTACAGGAGGTGTGCTGGAAGTGCCCAAATGCTCTCCATTGCCAAAGGAAACACCTACATCCATTTTTAGAGTACAATTAGCTTCCAATTTTTTGGGCTTCTTTAACTACATTAACGTAGAAAATGCATTCCAGGAATCCTGCTAGTGGTTGCTCTCAAAGCCAAAATCAACAGTGAATCCTTCCCTCACTCTCTCCAAATATTTCCCAGTGGAGGTGCAGATGCCAGTATAAGAAAGGTAAACCTATGGACAATAGACTTTATTTTCCTTATTTTTGCCCTAAAGGTAGTCCATGGATCCGAGAGGTCCAAAACTCCAATGAAATGCTGGACCAAATAATGCAAAGAAAATGTTTAAACCACTGTTCTAGGCTAAAAAAAAGTCAAAATAATACGAGATGGAGGAAAACAAAAGATAACTCATTGCATAAAACAACAATAAGCTTCTGATGAAATAAATGTTTTAAAAGCACTAGTTTGGACTTCTGTATTTATCATGGTAATTACGTTTGAAGATACTTTATTAAAAGCCAGTTGTATTTATAACCTTTTTTTTTTTTTCTGTTAGGATTCAGAAGCATTTACATAGAAACAACAAGTGATACAAGCAGTAGTAAATGTAACCAGAATGTAACAGCTGTAGCAAACCAGTAGGAAGTTATCTATAGAACTGCACCTTGAAGAGGCACAGAAATCAACACCCTAGAAAGTCATGGCAAATGCAGCTGCAGTAAGATTCAGAGTTACTGAAAACCCATTCATTACTTTAGATGCAATTCACCTGTTCCACTCTTAAGGCCAAGTGAGCTTTCCAGTACTCAATACTTCTTTAGATTGGCTTAAAATAACTGAAACCTAATCATCAGTATAAAATTGGTAGTAGCTTCACAGAGCGAGGACACCTATATTAACCACAAAGTTCTCAAACTAACCTTGTCTGTCATCTTTCCACAATACTATTATTAGTGAATTATTCCAATACTTTTCCCCAATTTAATCAAATGAAGAGGGAAGTTGTAATATTTACAAAACAGATCATACGGTGAGCGGCCGTGTTGCATCTTCAGATGACTTCCCATACAAGCACATAACTTTGCACGTTAGTTGCAGATTAACATGCAACGCACAGGACTGTGCACAACTCTGTTTTTATTGAGTGCTGCCTTTGTTTCGGCAGCAAGGAAACAATAATCAAGCTGGAACTCAACCTGAAAGTTTTAAAAAGCCGAAGCGTAAACCAGCTTCCCTCAAAGGCAACCTAACCCAGCCAGCGCTGTCTGCCATGAGATGGTGTAAGCTCCGCCTAGGGAAGGGCAATGTTGCCTTTGCAATCCACTCAGAAGTTCACACCCCCGAGCCGCGATGGGTGCGAG